CCTCCATCCTCAAAGACCCCACCCACCCCCAGCACGGACTGTTCGCCTCCCTACCCTCTGGCCGGAGGTTCAGAAGTGTGAAGTGTAGGACCACTAGACTGAAAAACGCTTTCTTTCCCTCTGCCATCAGACTCCTAAACAGCTGAGGAGTTTATTACCAGGAAATACATCATGTACTGTCGACCTGTACTGTTTACATTCTCAGTTTGCACATGCATAATTGCACATTGACTGTTGACTGCTGCACATGCTGCTCCCATGCAGCATACATTCTGTTATTATATTCTTATATATTTTTATTATATTGCTGCATTTGCTGCTTAAAGTGCCTTAGATTTTGTGTTACTTATTTATCTACTTTATATTTCATTTGTATTTTGTGGCATTCATGTGGACAGCATTCATGTAGAATTTCATTGTACAGGGAAACACATTTCCTAACTGTGCATATGACAAATAAACACTTTGACCTTTGACCTACTGATAGGAGGCTACTGTACATAACATTTTCTTTTGTATTCCTCAAGGGTACAAACATGAATGAAGGAGAGAGTGAAAGGGACTGCATTCCCTTTCCATGCATCTTCATTTGTCTGCACCTGTCAATGTTGTACTAGATTTCACTTCTGACAGATTTTCTCAGATGTACAAGCTATGGATGCAGCTCCTCTACTAGATACAGATTAACGTACATATCAACCACTCTCCTTTAATTTCATCTCTTTTGTTGGAAGCTACCTGTTCATTCCATAAATGCCACTGAAGCTACTAAATAGTACCTAAAACAATAAAACAGAATGCTATTGGCTTTTGCAAAATAACATTGATGAGAGGAAACTGATGAGAATGTGTTAAATACTTGCCTCCAATCAGCTATCCCTGCTCTGAACATACCTGTTATGTTACTGCTTGAGAGCAGGGGTGTATCAAGCTTTTTAAAAGTGTGGGGGATGAGGTTTGTCTGGGGTGGGGGTATCTGAGCAAGACTGAAGCTGAACGCAACTAAATGGCTTGTTAGCTCATCAATATGTAACCTGGCTCATAAACAGCAAGAGCAAAGCTACC